CACTTTTGTTTCCAGAGTTAAGTGCTTAATTCTACATTTATTTTTAACGTGATCTGACTTTTACCACTTCTTGGACTCCATACTTTGCGAAAAGTGATCCGATTTGTATGCTTATATTTAGTAAAGTAGACAAATTAAACGCAATAGGGCAAACCATACTCTATTAAGATTCCGCAAATCTTTCTACAAAATGTTAAATTCCCAGCAAAATATTGTCGTCTTACCATCCGACTACAGGCATGACTAAAATAATGTGATGGAACCTTATCTGCAAAACATTTATGTAAAATTGAAACCGGAAACAGAGCACACAGCACAGCTCAGCACAGCACAGCACAGCAGGAGCAGACCAGAAAGACAAGCACAACAAAGCGTTATGTCCGTTACATGGATACGAAAACGAGCAGGCAGCGAGCAGACAACATCCGTGGCGCTCAGCCAGGATGTGTATATATGTGTGGGGTGGGAAACAAGGCGTACTGCGTCATATTATAGCATTTTGATTGATTGCCTTTTAGCCTATCAAAGTGGCAGATACATATAGTTGGCTACACGATGCTCTACGAGCAGCCGTGACGTATGCGTAATGTGATCCATAACAAATATGCTGAGCGCGTGACCACCATTGCTTTCCGGCAAGCAGCAGCGAACTGCTCATCCTCATCCCATCCATTCGTTTCTGGTCAGGGCCGCTAACCAATTAATTTGCATCCTTTTACAGCACATCGCTTTCAGGTGCAGCAAGGCGATGATTGCTTTGTGTTTTTGCACACTTTCCGTCTCTATTGTACACAAAGTGTGTGTCCCAGCCAGAGATCTAGCAACTACTGTGTTTGTAAGGTTTATCTGCTAAAAATCTCTTTTACCAAAAGAAACACAGAATATCCTTGCAGTCAAACCTGCCCGACTGCCAAATGCAGTTCCCGTGTGCTTCTAGGTAAAATGTTGAGTAAGTGACTTAAAAATAGAAATAGTATTTTTTGGAATTTAAAGGTTTCTTAACTTTACACCCTTGACATATATATCCCCAATCGTAGAGTCAGATTCAAGTAATCAAGTAATCAAGTAGGCTGTTTTGAAACAACTTCAATCCCTTTTCACATTGCACAATATATCAAAGAGTAATCTAATACATAATCTCTTTATAATCTGCTTTATTAAATTAGATCAACGTATTTATCTTGGTTTCGATCTAGGTACAGGGCATCTACTAGTCGTACAATCGTTACTGAAGCACATTTATTCTTAAGAACTTTCTGTATGTAATTTGTGCATTTTAAGGGTTGACATTCTCATCATTCTATTTGCGACATTGGCTTTGTTTTTGGGGTCGCCACTGCTGCTGCTGCTGTTGCTGTTGCTGTTGCTGCTGCTGCTGCTGCTAATGAGTGTGGCTGGCTGACTCAAGTGTGTGTGAAGGCCAAAGGGCTGCACTTCGCGCCATGGTGGGGCCGGCCATTAGGCTAATGGCAAGTGACAACTTTTGTAAATTGGAATTACATGCGCGCTGTGGTATTTGGATATTTGAGTTTAGCAAATGGGTATTGCATTTACAGAAATACATCCATGTTTATATGGAACTCGTGAACCGCAAGTGCGAGGCGAGTAAAGGCACTATACAAATCGCTCAACACTTGGCAGCACTTAAACGCGGATAACCACATGATAAAATTAAACGATTAGCCACTGTAACGACCACAACACACACACACGCACCCAATATAGCCCAACACTCCCCCACCCTTCCTCACATCGGACACACTCACACAAACTCTCGGTGGCAGACCGAGGCTAGACTAAATAAACAGCACAGCTGGCGAGCCATGCGAGTTTCAGCTTGCCCCATACCCCCATGCCCTCTGTCCACTTGACTCACTTGCCTCAAAACGTTATCGAAGCGGAGTGGCAAAAAGAAATTTTCAAAACAAATTGCGTTTTTTCTGTGCGCTGCTCTGGAAAATATTTGCTTAGAGAAAAATCGTTTGAAATTAGTTGAACAAAACATATCCGAATGCATAAAGATAAAAACCAATAAATACTTGACGCCTTGTGCTAAACCGAAGCATATACAAACTTTGAACAATTGTTTTTTAAGCAAATGTTTATCATAGAAATGAATATTTTAAAGGTTATCTTCCATCAACTTTTATTAGCATAACAATTTTCGTTGAGACCCGATTTGAACAAATACTTACACTATTATATATTAATTTTATATTATATGTATATTAAATATTATTATTATATATTATTTGTATATTAAATACAGTCGTGGACTTGGATTCCGCATCGGAAATGGTTTTTGTGGTTTTACTTTAAAATATAGTTAAACGGCCTTAATTCAAAAATAATAAAAATGTTTACAAATTTTGTTTAATTAATTGGAGTTATTTAGCTAAATTATGATAAAAAATATAATTAATTTATGAAAAAAATACATAAGCTTTTAACAGAAAATGTTGAACTCCTCAAGAGTGGTTTTTTAGACTGCCTACTGTAACTCAACCGACTTATTTTGTTACGTATGTAAAATATTTTTTCATATATCAACGGCTGTCAAAACAGTCCGTTTTATAGCTGTGCAATTTTTTTTGTGACTTGAGCATGTTTTATCGCTTTGCTTAACCACAATGCAGACCAGCGAGCAAAACCAATTTGAATGCCTTTGTGCACTGGTAGCGATAAAAGTGGCGCGTTTTATTAGAAGCAAATTCAGAGAATGAATAATCGTATGCACAGTGGAGAGTGGGTGTGGACCACCACACTGATTTGAGGAGAGTAAATACAAATTTTCACACAATGTCAGCGCAATTCAATTGAAATATTAATTGTTTACTCAGGCGCAATGTTTGCGATTTGTACAATCGAAATTAGTTCAATTTCAATACAAGAAGTGTAATAAAAAAAATGTTGCACAGATACATAGAGAGAGCCAGTTAGACAGAGAGAGAGAGAGAGAGAGTGAGTGAGAGGCAGATATAGAACGAGAATCAAGCAAAATGAAATACTAATAAATTACAATTCAAACATGACAAACGAAATAACAAGAAATTCACAACTTGCTTATCGCTACCACACCCAGCAGAGAAGGCGACGGAGATAGCAGCAACTGTGCTGTGAACCGTGTCACCTCACAGATGTGCTTCAGCTCCAACTCCAACTCCAACTCCAAGTGCAGGCTCAGCTTTAGCTCCAGCTTCGATCTGGTTCCAGCTGCCATTTGATAAATTTTCATTTGAAAACTGTCAGTTGACTGATAAAACGTAATTTTTAGGCCGTTTTGTTTTGTGCCAAGTTGATGTCGTTGGCCACGCGTAGCTTGCCCCTTGGCGCCGCCGAGCGACAAAAATTAAATTACATTTTGCACACAGTTGTGATTTTCATTAATTTAGTGTAAATATAATACATTCACCAAGCTATGTATACAAAAAAGTTCCAAATTCCAAATCAAATAACTTTCTGGCCCAAACTTTTATGCCGGAAACCACAAACAAATAACAAGTCAGAAAAAAAGTTTGCCAAAAAAGAAATGTTTTGTAGTAGCTACTGCTCTTGTGTTTGAATACCATTTAATTGAGTTTTGTAGAGGGGCTTTCGAACTTAATGCGATATAATATATACTGAAATATTATACACAACTGGTTTGGGCTTAACCCAAATATGAACTTGAATTTCATAAGCAAGTATACTTCTTATTTATAACTTGAAGCGATTACAGGGTATTATTTTAGCAATAGTTATCTGTCAACTCACTTGTTTAATGCCCTTAACATTCTATCTTCGACTTTGTCACGGTTGCGCTTTTTGGCATTGTGTATACGCAGCAAGAACCTTTGTCAGAGGGAAAACTCAGCTGCTGGCAATGTTTGACTGCATGCTGCCAACGTTAAGTAAGCGTAAAAAAACGGTGGCATCTTTCAGTTTTCACTTGAGGGTATTGCCAAGTTGCTGCCAAGTTGAGACCTATCTGAAAATTGCTGTTCCTGTCTTCTCTTGTCTACAATACAATAAGACCTTGATGCAAACAATGGAAGAGAAAGGAAATATAGAATTCAGATGAAAAAGAGTCATCATTATGGCGAAACTAAGTTTGTAAGTCTTGAGAATTACACTCTATAAATTACAAAAATACTCTAGCATTTTAGTCGATTCAACAAAAACTTTCTATCTCAATTAGTTGCCAGCTTGCAACTGTGGGATATGAATCTTGATGTCACGATGATGGCAACTTTGTTAGATCCGCCTAGTCGAAATTGCAATAAACAGTTTAAACTTTAAACAATGTCAAAGAATAAAAAAGTTGCAAACATTTTGTTTTTATGGTCATCTCTTTGAAAAGTTGAAATGGATGCCGATTTACATTGTATGGCGCGAGTAATGGCGCTAAGTCTATGTATTATTCAGTGCCCTCAACTTGAGCTGATGGTGCGGACAGCTGTCGACTATTTAATGAGCCTTAAATATGAACTGACGTTGGTCGGTGAAAATCGAGCACTTGATACAGTAACAGTTACTTAAGTTGTACACAATTTAATTTCTTCCGAGTATGGGATGAAAAATGTTCGTTATTGTACTAATCTATGAATTTTACCTGTGATAATAAGCAATTAATCATTAATTTCAAGCCAACAATTAGTATCATTTAGTCCCCAATTTTGTACATAATTTTATTTTAAAAACTGGTCTGGACAAAAAATAAATCATTTTGAGAATATATTTTTCATTCAAATTAAATTGGTATATTAATCATTATATATAACCATAGGTTTAATTAATTTGAATTTTTTTTATTTTTAATTTATACAAATAAATTCACCTATTTTCCACCAACTCGAATGCATTGTGCATATTGTGGAAATTATGATTAGTCATATTTTAGTATGCGCTTGGCTTAATTGCAGCAAATTTCTGCATTAATTGGTAGCGTTTAAATGTCACTTAGTGACCAGTCCATAAAAGGCAGATTCGCCACTGATGCATCCACCAGAAGGTGTCGCAAAATGGTCATCGACAGTACACGGGCCTATCGTCCCTTGTGGATCTGCTTTCGAGTACTGGTTCCGACGTTTTTTGGAGCTCGGTCACGTACGGTTTTTGTACTCATGGTGATAGTGCATTTTCTGATAACTGTTATGTTTCCATTGCATCTGCTGTTGGGTCTGATGTTGCAGGGGACACCAGCCGAACGGCTGAAGAACCTAACGTTAAGTATATTATCTACCGCGTGCAGTTTGAAGCACATCATGCACGTGTGGCACCTGCCGCAGATGATGGAGATTGAAAAACTACTGCATGAACTGGATAAGAGTGTCCAGAGTGACGAGGAACATCACTATTGCCAGGAGACGCTGCAGTGTCATGTTAATCGCATCACTCGCTGCATTTATACAAGTTTCGCCGTCGTCTACATAGCGTACATTCCCACTATCCTTCTGGCTATTTTGGCAGAGCCCCGTGAATTATTGTATGTGGCCTGGTTGCCCTTCGACTGGCGGCAGAGTGGCTTGCATTATAGCTTGGCCTTTAGCTATCAGATTCTCAGCATTATGATCGAATGTATGCAGGCTCTAGCTAATGATATTTATTCCCCGCTAACGTTGTGCTATGTGAGCGGTCATATTCATCTGCTTGGCATACGTGTGTCGCGTCTAGGAGTTTATCAAAAAAGCGAGAGGCAAACTCGTCAGCAATTGCGTGCCTGTTTCGAGGATTACAGTCTATTAATGAGGTAAGACCTACTTGGTAAAAAAAAGAAAATAAAAGCTATTAAGTTGTTTGCATAGTTATTTGCTATAGGAATACGTGGAATTACAATTTTCCCCTCACAAGTATGGAAAGTTTTGTTACTTGGTTGAATTTGAAGACCATTTAAAAGAGTTACAAATCCAAATTAGTAAAATAACTATAAGTTCGACGTTTATCTTGTTTTAAAAGTCGTACATAAATAATTATTAAATGCTTTTATAATATTTAAAGCATCCACAACTTTTGAATGAAATCTTTTAAGCTAAGAAATAGAAGAATTTCCCACTTTCTTGCCGAATATAATTTGTCTCCTAAGCTTGGTAAAACCTCTCCACATATATCTAAAATTGTAATAGTGTAGCTTCTCCATAAATATTTTAAATTGTAATACTTATTTCTCCCAAAATAATGAGATTAATTAGTTTGAAGATTAACTCTTAGTTTTAAATAATTTTTTACATGAATTTCGATGCAACTTTTAAAATCCAATATTTGTTTTCAATATTTTAGACTATATCAGCTGACGAGAGAGACGATTAGCAGTGTACAGTTCATACAAGTGGTGTTCTGTGGCACAAATCTCTGCATAGTCGTCTCCTATGTGCTATTATTTGTGAGGGACACGCTGTCGCTGATGTATAATGCCGTTTTATTTATCGTCATCTGCCTGCAGCTCTTTCCCAGCTGCTATTTTGCCAGTGATGTTGCTGAGGAAGCGTGTCAACTGCCCTATGCCATCTTCTCGAGCAATTGGTATGAACAATCGGCCCATATACGACGCAATATACTCGTCTTTACTCAATTGACGTTAAGAGTGGCAAATCAAAGGATGATGGCCGGATTCCTTGAGCTCAATCTGAATACATTTTTTACCACGTTGAAAATGGCATATTCGCTCTTCGCTGTGGTGTCGCAAGTTAAGAATTAAGAGTTAAGGCAATTGCTCTGCTCACCTGCTTGGAAAACTTCATATTATTTGTTTTTATTAATTCCATCTTAATCTTGTGATGCCTAGTGTCACATATTCGTTGCAGAACTCAATCTCCCTTCAATAAAATGTTTATTTTTATCATTACTTTGACCGCTATCAGTTCATCTAACTCCAAATATTCTGATTTTCATCATCATCTCTTTTTTTATACATTTTCTCTTTTCTCTATACCTCCCCCTCTGGCTCTCTATCACTCTTCAAGATGTTTTACTTAATTTGTATTGGTCTAATCATTAACATTTTTTGATATATTTTCTGTTCTACCCCAATAAACGATGCACTAGCTTAAATTTACATTTTCCATTTTAATTTCATTATTAATTTTTTCTTAAGTAAATTTAATTGTAATGTTAATATTAATTTACTCAATATTAATATTGTAATTTGTATATATTTAAAAACTTTTTAAAGTTTATTCACTATGTTCAATCAAATTTAAATAAGTAAAATTCATACGTTTTCATTTACTCATTTCCGCGTTTTCACACTAATTTACCTCACAAAAAAAATAAAAGTGAGGCAATCAACCCCGCACAGGGCGCTATAACAAATGAAACTAATTAATTGTCCGTCTCAGTGCGCAAACATTTGTTTTGCTTATTCGGCTTAATTTTGTTTTCTTTTATTTCGATCTTTTTCGATTCTTACAATTTACCTCGGCACATTAAAGCAAATTAAATGTTTACGTGTTTCAACTTGAATTTCTTGTGTTTCCTTTACGCTCATGCACTTTGCTCAAGCGATTGTTATTGTAATTAAAACGAGAAGCGAAAATATTATAAAGCGTTGCCCTACAAATCAGAAATAGCCTGATGCTCTTCAATTTTACAGCGTATTTATCAACAATTGCTGCACAATATGCGTCAATGGTTTTCTTTTTTATTTATTTTCTACCACTTAAACGTGTTTGACTGTTATTGCTGGCAGCGCCGATTGCCTACAGAATTCTGTTTCTTTTCCTTCTGTTTTTTTTTCCCCAACTTAATATATTCTGTCTCGCCAAAAGGCAGTATAATACTTTATTAAAAAATCTTTAAAACATTTTTTTTTCAAAAATGTGTTTTGTTTCTTTTTTACTTTGCTTATGGATAACACATTTGCAAATTAATTAAAGTATGATTGGCAATTCGTCTGTTGGTTTTCACTTAATTTTCAAACATAAATCAAGCTATGATCACTTTAAAATGAACACAATTAATATAAAAGTACATATCAATAGTAATAATATACTTATGCAATTAATTTTCAAACATAAATCAAGCTATGATCACTTTAAAATGAACACAATTAATATAAAAGCACATATCAATAATAATAATATACTTATGCGTCAATGTTCAAAGAGAACTAATTGAATAATTTAGATAATTGATTAAACTGTAACTGTAATCAACAAAATCCATAAAAAAAACAAAATATTTCAATAAATTTTTTTTGTATCACCCCCAAAATATTTATTATTGCTTTAAATATGTGATGGTTTACCAAAAGTTATGTCCGCAGCTTAAAGCTGTAATTAATCACAAACTACAGAAAGCGCAAAAAAGAAAAATTTGAGTAAAAAGTGCCACTTTTGGAACTTCACAGTGCTAAAATTTGTCTGCACAAGATGCAAAAATGTTGATTGCGTTGTCTGTATGCATAAAATGTGTATAATTTACGACAGAAAAGGTGGCGAGTGGAAGTAGTAGGAAGGTAATAGGCAGGAGACTCTAGACAGCTGGCCGCACTTAAAAATGTTGTATTAACAAAAATTTAAAAAAATTATTTGTATCCCAATAATTATTATAATTATGTCTAAAAATAATCCAAGTGCAGTCAAACTTTACTTGTACGATTATCTTCTGGTTGAACTCTCTTAGTTAAGCACAGTTGAGCACAGGGATGCTCAAACGGGCTTAGATATGCATTCATATATATGTATATATATATTTATATAATGTTAACTTTATAAAATGGGTATTTCTTATTTAGACCCATTCAAAATGGCTGACAATAATTTCCTGGCATTTGTAATAGGCATTTAGGGAGCAACAAATGAAGAAATGAATAGCAAAACCAAATAATTGAAATTGAAATTGTCACGAGTTTTGAGTCCAAACCAAAGGACGGAGCTCAGCAACTGGCTTTCACATTATTAAATGAGAATATTGCGTATACGACCAGTGATTCGGTGGGTCGTTCAAAATATTCAGAGGCTGCTGCGCCCAACATGAACGCGACGGCGCTCGAGGTGTTTTAACTTTTCTGCCTGCCTTTCATTCAGTTCCATTTCAATAGAACAAAGCACATAGATGGCAAAAATATTGTTGGCCTACTTTGAAAGTGCTTCCTGTCGCATGTCCTGACTCGGTTTGTGTGTTTGTGTGCTTATGAGTTTGTGTGTTTATTTTAACTTTTGGCATTTGGTGCGCGAGCCGGGGGAATTTCACAGCAAAATAGCAAACTAAAACAAAAACATCAAAACACACAAAAATATGAAATATGAAAAAGAAATTGAAACAGTCAACCGGACTAAAAGTTGTCTATCATAGCCGCTATCGCTATCTCTGGCCCTATATCTGTATCTGTCAAAACACAACACAGTCAAACTCAATCAGTGCAGCAAGAAATTGTGGCACCACCCAACACAACTAGCTACAGATTCAATTGCTCTCACTTTGGTCTGAAGTGCTTTACGAAATTGTAAAACGTTAATGGCCTCATGGGCAAGCAGACAAAAATCTAATCAAAATCATAGAATTCTAGCATTATTTGAAACTTTTGCTTGTTTGCCATTATTTACTATGGTAAACAGTGCTGTATGTTTATATTCAGAAAATTGGTATATTGTATATATGTTGAATTTAATACTTTAAAATACTACCATTGACATCCAGAAGTATGTTGTTATTATCTTTGAAGCATAACTTATAAATTATTTCAAGCTTCAAGCTCAAATTACTAGTGGATTAGAGCGCCGGAGGTCCCTATGCAATTCGCCCTCTTATTTCTGGGAATATACTGTTTTGTTAAACTCAGCAAGCGCACCAGATTAAAATGAAAATTCCAATTGCGCATAATTACTCATGAAGCGATTTTAATTGCACGCTAACAGGTCAGAAATATTTGATTACTTTATTTGTTCGACGCTAATAAAAACAAATAAAACAAGAGTCGAGAGTGCACGACTAGCAGGTTTACCCTAAAATACCCTCGCAGTTACTTTAAAAATAATCAAGTGCCCCTCTAACGCTTTTAAATTGTGTACAGGGTATTTAAGTACAATTCTTCTATAGAATACCAGATAATTGTAATTAATTATTTAATGGATTTTAATTCTGTGCGCATGTAAAAGCTTAATTGACCTTTTGACTTACAATTGTGCAATTGTGTGAAATTATTACAAATTTGTTGAAAATTAATTAACTAACGAACTTTCGCACTGAGCTGAAAATAGCTGCAGAGATTTGTGTGTTGTGAGTGCAGTGAAATTCGTTGCAGAACCGGCATTCCATACGGAACTCAATTACCTCGTGGCGGGTAACTCAATTTCCACAGCGAAAAAAATTAAACCGGCAAAAGCGCGCATCGAGCAAAATGTTCAGGCCAACGGACTGTGTCCTCCTCAACTACGGTGACATACTGCTACTGTTCCTGTTCCTGCTGCTCTGTCGTGTGTGCTTGGTCCCTAAAACTATGCACCAGCTAGAATAACAAGGGCGCAGGGCCGCATTGCCTGTTTGTCTGCCTCTTGTATTTCACTCATGCATGAAATTTTTTACTTTCCAGCCAGTTGGCGGCCACTTGCTTGTTTTTCTCTCCCTTGTTTTCTATTGTCTATCAACAATGAGTATATTGATGGTATGCAAAAGTACGTAAAGTATTTATATTCATGCTTATTTTATCAACAGCCGAGTCATATTAGCCATACTTGCCGATCGCAGAGATAGAACTTCTAGTTTTGAATGTGATTTCTTGCATAACACACCCACATCAAGTTATTTTTTTCGATAACTTGAGTTCAGGGTATCTCCTAGTCGAGCTCTGTCGACTAAAGCTTTACTTCTTGTTTCTCCCTTTTTGGTGTTGCTGGAGATTCATTTACTGTTTTCGTTTATTTTTTTCTACGCATTGCTTCTGCAGATGTTGACATTGGTGTTTCCTGTTTGTTTGTGTGTGTTTTTATGTCTGTGTGTTGTACTTTCTATTCTTAAAGCCGGACAGCTTCAGGCTTTTGGTTTCACATCTTAGTCATGTTGGCTTTGCTGTGGTCACATACTGTTCACTGCCAGTGTAAGCGATTAAAATTGCATTTGTATTTCAATCTGGACGAGTCCAATGTTGATGTCGGTTGAAATCTCTGCGAAATTGTTGGAGTCAAGTTCATTTGTGCTCCGACGCATCCCCGCATCAAATGAATCATCAAATGACGCATTTGTTTACATGCTTGCGGGTAAGATTTGAAGACAATCGAACAATTTGAACATCTTAAACAATTCTTCAAAATACCATAAAAGATGGTATTTAGGGATTGGTCCAAACTTGAAATTATAATAACTTTGTTAAAACTAAATGCTTTTGGATCATGGATTGACCTGTAGATTAATGCAACATTTAAATTTTGATTTTGTCGAATAATAATGTTTTCCTTTTGGCAATCGGGAGTTGAAACACTTTCCTGTTTGAGTTTAAGTATTGAACTCACTTTGGTAATCGATAATATTTGTCAAACTATTTGATATCTGCTTCGTTGCAGTTGCAGCTCACATTGCTTTGGGCATATAAAGTTTCAGTTTTGCTTTTTGCTGTCTGTCTGTCCCTGTCTCTCTTGCTGTGTCATCAGTTTTGGCCTATTTGTAATTGGAGTGTAGGCAAAATTCGTTTGGCAAACAAGAAAATTCTTGACCAATTTCCGTACACATTTGGTTGCCAATTTCCAAAGCCACTTGGACATGTTTTGTGGGCGAATGGGTGACAATTTTCGAACAGTAGCGAATGGCTGAGAAGTGAATGCTGTATTGCAGCTTTGTTGGTCAGGCAAGCATATCACCGACATGGAAGGTCATTTGTAACTTTAACTAAACAAATTTGAAAGGCTCTACGCATATCAAGTGTGGGCTGGTTCTTGCGATGGCCCTTTTGGGCCAAGTACCAACTGTCCAGCTATGTATAAAATAGTCGATGGCTGTTGGGGTAAGCATCAGTAGCACAACGTGCCACAATAAGCAAAGAGCAGCAGCTAAAACAAATTACAAGCAAGAAGCCAACTAGTCGCATACCTGATATCTCTAGCCATGAAACGGGTAAGTCCGAAACAGTTCTGGTAATAAATGTTTGCCGACGGTGTCATGCAAAAGGCATCGTAGCCGAGGCATGCAATAAATCAGGATAATCAAAAATTGAAACGATAAAACTCTTCAACGTATTAGGAAAATTTATATGGACTGACTTAGACTAACAGAGTCACACCGAATCTTAAACTCACTCACTCATTTTGTGCAGATGTTGCAAGATTTCAATATTTTCTGAATATGCAAATTAATATTGTTTTCATTCTAATTACTCTCCTTAATGTCATTCAATTATGTCTTCTATTCCAAAAATTCAAACAATAAGAAAATCAGTAATTTTTAGATTTTCCTGGGAGCTTAATCGAAAATTGAATGTAGCCTTTGCCAAAACGTAAGGTATAAGAAAAGTTTCAAGCAACATGCTGTCAAAATAAATTGGTTAGAGTTGTGAGGGATTCAAGAGTTGGGTACGAAACTCATTCAATTATGAGGCCTGTAAAAAGTCAATGGCAAAATTTATGATGCCAATAGCAATTGTCAAAATTGATATATTTGTTTTTGCTGGCATATTTTGAAGCATGCGGCTAAATTTAAGAAGAAAAAAACTTGCTAATCCATATTAAACTGTTTTGCCTTAAATATATTTATATACCTTTTATATATATTTATATATATATATATATATGTACGTATTTATAGTCTTGCTTGTTGCTGTGCCTGTGCCTGTGCATGCTGACCAGCAATGTGGCTTATGCATCCTATTTGAGATCTCTTGAACTCAGCCAGTTAAGCAAAACATCCAGTCTGCAAAAACAGCAGCAACAGCTGCGTGGCGAGCTAAACAACGATGACTCCAATTTGGATGAGGATACTACCATTTTGCCGAGCTCTAGTGAAGATTACGATAGCCGGCCCCAATACACATTTGCCTATGATGTGCACGACACGCTGACTGGCGATGAAAAGCGCCAGGAGGAGAAGCGCGATGGTGATTTGGTGAAGGGTCAATACTCTCTCGTTGAACCGGATGGCACACGGCGTATTGTGGACTACACGGCGGATGATGCAAGCGGCTTTAATGCCATTGTTTCCAAACAGCGTCTGGATGAACATCGCAGTGTATCTCAATCTCAATCCCAATCTGCATCCAGTTCCTCGTCTCGTTACAATAGTATTGAGGAGCTGCAGTCCCGTCTCACAGCCCAAGCCATGGCCGAGGCCCAAGCCATAGTCGATGCACAGCAGCAGTCGCATTTGCAGCTGGAGGCCCAAGCACGCCGCGAAGCTGAAAACCAGGCGCGTCAACAGGCTCAACAGCTGATGGAGCAATTCCAACAGCAGGTGCAGCAAACTGCCCAACTGCGTCAACAGCAGGAGCAACAACGCCAGGAGCAGGAGCAACAACTGCGCGAGCTGCAACTGCTGCAGGAGCAGCGGGATCGTGACCAGCGTGATCGTGAACAGCGTGATCGTGAGCAACGCGAGCGTGAGCAGCGTGATCGGGAGCAGCAGGACCGTGAGCAACGTGATCGTGAGCAGCGTGATCGAGAGCAGCTGCGTCGTGAACAGGAACGTCGCCAGAGTCAAAGCCAAAGTCAGCAACGTCTCCTCGACCAAACGCTGCTGTTGCCCAGCTCCAATCAGCGTGTCCAGGCCAGCGTTGTCTCACATCCGCCCACATTGATCTCGACATCGCGTCTGAGTGATTTGGATCTGGAAGCATGGCGTCAACTGCCCAATGCTCGCCTCAGCATTGAGCGCACAAATCAGCCCCTGATCCTGTCACAACCCTCGAGTGCTTCGGTGCAGGCACAACTGATTAGTTCACCACTCCTGCTAAACTCTGGTAATTTGAATGGCTTGATCTCGACACGACTCAATGGTAATGCGGCCATTAGTTGGTCCCAGGGTCAGCGGCTGTTGGACAACGAGCTTTGGCAACTCGACCGCCTGGACGATCAAGGGAGCCGTCGTGCGGACAATCGCCGTGCCGAGGAGCAGCGTCGCGAGAGCGAGGAACTGCAGTCCATCAACAATAATAACAATCGTCATGCTCAATGGTAAAGAGAAACTGCAAAAGCCTCAACTTCAACTGACCTCAACGATCATATGCAATGGAAACCTGATTATGTCTAGAACTTAAGTACACACACACACACACACACACACACACACACACATACACAACACTCAATTTTTATATCTAAGCGAATGTGTTATTTTTTTAATTTTATGTGGGATACGGTTACTTTAACTATTTGCTTTGCCTCTCTTAACATGCAAACTAAATCATGAACTAACCCAATCAAGCTCAAGCTCTTCCTAACTCTAGCCTTAAGTTTAATTGTTTTTTGTATAACTTTCTTAGTTAGCTCAACTGCATTATTAAACTTACCAAAAAAAAAGTATAAAACAGAGTCAACTACATCAATAAACGCCAACGAACAGCGTGTGAATAGTTCAAGCACAAAAAGAATTTGAAACTTAATTTAGTTCAGATTGGATAACAACAGGTGGTTTATAGTGTGCGCCTTATGGCCAACTACCCAGTTGACCCTAATCTCTTTTCATGGGCTCTGACACTTGGTCATGGCTGCTGCACATGAGCAAACTCTTGAACTCCTCCCCAGCTCTCCTGCCGATGACGCACATGTGTGCACGCAAGTTGACCATAAACCTTGGACCAACTTTCTTTAGGGCAGCAAATGGCAACAAATTTTTTTAATAATAAACGAGCACACCAGCCAGTCCAGAGCATACGAATAAGTGGTAGCAAAGTTGATCCTACACCAACACATAAACTTTACGCAATACACTTAAAAATAAACTTGCACTCGCATGAATACATGCAAGGGGCGGGGGAAACGATGGTTTTAACGGTAACACTATAAAAACAATGGATATTCTCTTCAGGTAGCAAGAGGGTAGATTCAATTGATTGTAAAAAATGTGCAATTTTTGGAGAGAAGATTAAAAGTAGTCAGTTGAGCTTGTACTGTTTATCTTATCAGTCTTTATATTATTTTGTTGGTGAAAGTATTTTTTTATTTAAAAAATTGTATAGAAAAGAACATTGTTGTCTAATTCAAAAAATAAATAGCTTCCTATCATTTGAATTCTATGACTTTGACTTAACATTCGCGAAACTTATAACAGCCCCATTTTTCTGACGCAGTTCAAAGTCGAGCACAAAGCCGGAGAGATTCCGTTAAACGCTGCAGCGTAACATTTAATACAAAAAATTCCACTTAACTATTTACAAAGTCACTTTAAAGAGAAACGCTCTTTGGTGTGAATCAGGAGTAGCTCAAAGCTAAGATGCACGGCATCAGATTGTTAGACAGTCGGCAGTCGCCTTAAGAGGAATCACTTGAAAGTTCAGAACTGCAGTTGCCTGTACGAATCTCCCTTGGGCGCTATCAGTTCACTAGGCTCTATTGGCAAAATGAAGAAAACAATTTTGCCAGCGAGCTCCAAACGGCATTGTCAAATCTGGCGGAGCAAAACATATATACGCACACACACATACACACACACACACAGCCGAAAGTACACAAAACCCAATGGATTGCAAGAGCAATGCAAACGGTTAAGATTCCATTGTGACATTTTGATTTCCTGTGCTCTCGGCAAGTGAATGTTGACCTTGCTGCGTTGTTTCAGAAAGCTGCTTAGTTGCAAATGGCCCGCACAGTTTCTGACTTTCCAAAGAGAGAAAAAGCCGTATAGGAAATGCCAGCAATCGGCTGCTTTAACAAATATCGTATGGAAAGCAACACGCACAGAGCGAGCATAACATTTAAATGTACAAAGATTAAACGTTCCTATTTCCGAGAGGAAGACTAAATAATGCCTTTTCAAGCCGAAATTCTATCAGTTAGGCTCTCAGTTAATCTAAGCATGCTTTAATTCGTCACATTTAAAATGCTTGTATTTCAAATATCACTTTGACATATCCTTACTGTTCATCTTAAAGGTAATAGCTAGAGATTTTCTCGAAAAACAAGATGTTTAAGTTACTCCTACGACCTATTTCTATGCGTTTCCTGAGCGATAAGACTAATAAGGTTAAGACCTCGACGAAACCGAAGGAGCCGCCTAAGCCCAAGTTATCTAGCAAACTGTCAAATACGCCACGACCCCCAAAGGATCCGGCCGATGAGGGCTATGCGCCAGATAGTGTTAATCACGAGGGCATCGAGGTGGCGGACTTTGTAAGACCGGAAGCTTATCGACAATTTAGCGGACCAGATGAGTGCCTCGGTCCCGGTGCTGGCAAGAAATATGACTATAAAAATGCCCACTACTTTGCGTATCATCGCTTCAGTTTTGTTGAGCTGCAGAATCAATCATTGGAGCTACGTGACGAACGGCGCATCAGTGGCGGTGTTCAGGTGATAATCGAGGTCGACGCGGACGAGGACGACTTCGCTGATAACAGCTTGGAGGCCATGAGGGATCGGCAAGCAGAATGTGATGAGCAGCTCACGGCTCAGGCGAAGGATATTGAAAATGAAAAACTTCAAGCTTGGTGTGATTCCATAGAGAAGAAGCAGCAGGAGATAGCCAAACTGCAGATATCTAATAAATCACCTGATGAGCAAATGGAATTGTGTGCAGACTTGGAGAAAAAAAAGCTAGACAAATCACAACTGTTGCAAATTAAGAAGCGAGCAATTGAAAAACAAAGACAGGAAAAACAGAAAATGAAAAAACAAATTGGTAAGAAAGTCAAGGAAATTTTAGCCGGTTGCACAACTGGACTAAAGACTGAAAAGACGGAACAGGACAAGGTATTAGCCGAATGTAAGGAAATGGTCAAAGAAGTCACAGATGAACTCATGGCTCAAGTGCTCACAGCCAAAGGAAAAAACGAGGCGACTCAGGAAGTGTCATGTAAAGAAAAACTAGAAAACAAAGATGACAAAGCGGCAATGAAAAACGCTAAGCCAAAAGAATCCATAGAGAAATGTAAAAAACCTAAAGATAAGGAGGCTGACAAAAATACGGGGAAATGTGACAAAAAGACGGAGATATGTGAAGAACCCAAAGAAAAGGAAACCAACAAAAAGGCGGAGATATGTGAAGAACCTAAGAAAATTGAAACTGCCAAAGAGTCGCAGATGTGTGAAGAACTTAAAAAAGATGAAACTAACAAAAAGCCAGAACAATGTCCCAAAGATGACAAAAAGTAAAAATATAATTGTACTTTTTAGCCAAGACCACAGCCAAGCCAAGATATTCACCTACCACAGAAGAACTCAACTTGACAACATGATGGGCGTCTTTGCTATGCTTACTTAGCGGCGTCACAAACCATCGCCATATACAAGCAGTTGCTCTCAAACTTTGCCTCTCACATACAAATTGTATTTCCGTTTGTCTTTTGTTGTTTTGTTTTTGTTGTGTTCTTTGAATTGCAATTTGAATTGTTAATAAATTCATAGTAGAGTTTCGCATTTAATCAATTGAAACGCTACAAAAGAAACCCGCTACGGGGTTGCTGCACAATTTCAGGGACAAGTCGTCAAATGAAACAAACAAAACGAAAGTCATACCTACATATACACATAGGTACATATATATTTGTATGCATATGTGGGTATATCTAGGTATAGACATAAGTATAGGCATCAGCGTTTTGAGGTCGTTCATTTCACATGCAATAAGTTTGTGAACGTTGTTGCTGCATTGATCCCACTGAACCGATAGTGAGACTCATCACGTGTTTTTAGCACGCTAATTATTTGGAAATCCCCCGAAGCAGCAAGAGACAGAGAGAGAGCGAAATATAGAGAGCCAGTTAACATTAGTTTTATATTTTGCTCAGCTTAATGTGTGGATGGCATTGTTTTATTTATATGTTTTATGTACATATATTAGTTGGCGTACCAAAAGTCTGGAACTACTTGATGTTAGTAATTTAGTTGATTTTATTTTGGACTTGCCGGTAAGATGTATTGAGCAGTTGAACTTATAGAACACAATGCTAAAAAATTGCCAGATATGTCAGGTTTAACCGGAACTTGTAGCAGCAGCCAAATCTGACCATCTGGCATTTCTATTCCGTTAAGAGTTTCCGAACATTTTTTTTCTCAAAATCATTGGCAATGTGATAAAATACGTGCATAGATGAAACCCCAAAATTACATAAGGGCACTGACAAAGAAACAACACAAAAGTTTCTAAATATAATGTTTCTTTCCACGGTATTCTTATTAATCTACTAATTAAGTTATATTATACCAATAACAAATATTTTTAAAACGGAGCCACACTGCAACCAACTGAAACGAGGTTACTAGTTTCTCTTTACACTCCGTCATTTTTAATTAGATTTATTAGTAGCCTTCGTCGAGTTGTGGTTTCTAATGCTGATCTAATCCATAGCATTTGTAAAATGGTGTTCTTATTAAGTATATTAAATATATAAAATATAATGACACCATAACTTGAAAATATTATCAACAAATGTTATGGCACAGGAATATGATTAAGAGCAATGACTTTTATATTAATTATACTCTTAATGAAGGTAATTCTATTAAAATTCAGCAGTAAATAAAATTTAGAGCTCGAAGGAAACGTGAAACAGTCAACATTTTAAGTTAGATCAAAAACAAAAAAAAAAAGCAACTTAAAGTTTGGAGTTTATTTCGTTTAATCCAAATAAATTAATTAAAATGTTTTGTTTTTATTAATTTTCACATTATGCCGCGTGTGAAACCATTTATCGTATACTTGCATATTACCAAGAGAATGTTGAAGACCTTCGACTTCTCTATTTTTAACATTTAATTTATTTATAATGGAGTTTAGTTATGGGCAGTATGCCTTCGGTCAGCAAGGGTATTATTTCTTGTGCTTGCCTGTGATTGTCGTTCTTAAATGATTTGAATTACGATTGCTCTTTTAAGCATGGCTAAACCTACAGATTGAGCTCTAAAATATGCTATCGTTGGCATACCTCATAGACAATGGGTTAACTAAAGTGCACTTAACCAACAACAATCCCCCGGTTGGTCAATGCGACGCGCCTCGTTTTGGAGGCATTTAAGCTGAAAATTGCTAATAAAATATTTGCACAGCCTCAGTCTCGGAGACGTAGCCAATGCAGATCTTGGCCATCTGCATTGATGCGTCAAAAATGTAAACTTAAAATGTTTGCACACAGTACATAGCCGTTGGCCCCTCTCTCTCTCTCTCTCTCTCTCTCTTTCTATTTATCTCTCTTGATCTTGTAAGTGCCTTTAATTTTTGGACTAACGACAACTTGTCGCTTGTCGTGGATTATGCAGGCCTTTGGCCATGTTTTTGTTGATGATGTTGTTGCTATGATTGAGCCTCATCATCATTTGCAAAAGTTGAACTGCTGGCGGCTGATGCCAAGTGTGGCAGCACAGCTTCAACTGCAATTGATGCAACATCATCAACATGTACATCTAAAGCAGCAGTTTAGCTGAGTTGTTTTTTAAGCTTTTATTTGTTATTTGCCGCCTCGTAATCGCAGCTCATATATCGAAAACGAAGCGTGCTATTCTCTGTCTCCCTCTGTCTCGCTCTTTATTTCTTTCTCCCTTTTATGTCCCGCTTTAATTTGCATAATTTAGCTAGGAAGTCAATCAGAATGCGACCGGCTCGGGACTGTGTGAACTGCCGCAATTCTCATGGCAAATGGCGCCGCATTCCAGCAAAGGAAAAAGACTCTCAACGCACAGCTGCGTCTCCACCAAAATTACCTCCCACACTTTCAATCCACCAAGTATTCAGTGACGGACAGCAAATGCACAAATCTGGAGCGCTATTTCAAACGGCCAACAGCTTGGAAACTGCCACAATTCCCACAGACTTGAGCTCAGCTTTTAGACGCGACTACGAGTTTTTGATTTGGCTTTCGAGGGGCTAGGCCATTGGCCATTCAAATTATGTAACTAATTTTCGCACTGATTAAAAGTAATTTTCCAAATTTTCCAGCGCTCTGTGACACTAACAACAACAAAACGAGCAAGAGCAGCAGACAGCATTTGAATTGCAATTTGGCCTGTCGTCATTTGATAGCAGGCAGACATAAACATGACCCTGGTTTAGGCCCTCTAAGCAGCTGTATTGCCAGTTGGCCTGAAAAGTGGAAAATTGTTGAATTGCAAAGCGTGTGCTTTGAATTAAACTGCATTTATCTAGCCTCAGTTTAAATGTTTTCTTGCTTGGATTTCACTTGAGTTTTTTTTTTTGGCGAAGCCAATAACTTAACCAAGATGAGAACTATTTTTCCTTTATTTATTTATTTTAAAATGCTTTATTGCAACATTCTGTTTTCCAAAAAAAAAAGCTTTATATCTTTTAGGGCACTCAAGAGCTCTTCATCAATGAAATAGAGCCTTATGACATACATAATTAACAATAAATAAAAATACATTTTGGGCTTTTTAATATTAGTAATGAAAACTCTTGTTGAGAGTGTCTGACCAGAAGATGCCCTGTACCTTACATAGGTTTTGGTATTTGTTTTTACTTAAGCTAATAACTATGCAAATATTTCTCTCAACCTTAACTGCTACAGAATTACTATATATAATTTGTGAAGGTTGTTTCATATGCAGACAATTGATATGTTAGCTGGCTCATTGTCGAAGGTATCTCATAAATTATTGCAATCTGCTGGCAAACAGGAAACATCGCTGCCTGTACCACTTCCGAGGCCAGCCAAGTGGAACGTGGAAGTCTCTGGTGCTGTTGGTGGACAAGTGCAGAGTTCTCGTCATCAAAGTGCGCGTGCAGGAATTTTCCTGCATTCGTGATGCAACAACAATTTATGCATGAAATCATTGAAGCGTTCAGTGGACAAGTCGGAAGAGACTTAAACCCCAGAGAAATTCGCTAGAGACACCCTTGTGCTAGGCACTTCTGCGGTTAGAACAAGGGCAACCCTGCAACTGGCCAACTGAACAACTGGTACTCCCATGGCACTCTCACACACATATGCGGGCTTTTTAGTAATGTGCTGTAATTTGTTGGTCGGTTTCCAACTTGTTGACGAACTGCGTCTCTTTCAGTTGGCATACTTAACACGATAGAAAAAAAGTTAATTATCTTTTTTTCTCCCGCTCTTCGTTGGTCTTTTCTCTTTGTCTGTGTTTTTTTTTTTTTTTTTGTGTTACCATGCCCAACAGCTCCGCTGGGCTATTATCCATGGTTCTGGCCTAGCAGTGGTACTTTGTGTTTTTTCTCACTCCAAGCGTTCGCCGCTACTTTTTTGTTCAGTGGTTGTTGGTGTTATTGTTGTTATTATTGTTGTTGTAGTAGCCACCGTTCCATCCGCTCGCTATGGTTGAAGTTCATTGAACTGTTAATTGTAGCAATGCCTGTGTCCAACTGCGGACAGTGTGAAAGGTGATTTTTCAAGGCTGCCACGTCCGGCGCTCAGGTGTTCCCAAGACCCCAGACCCCAGACCCCAGCAAATGTTTTAAAGTTCTTAAAGGTATTAGGTTTGATTTTATTTTTTTGAAAGTTTTATTTTCATTTTTTTTACAACCAGTATTTATGAATTAGATTGTTGAGCTTGGGTGCTAATGAGCGCACGCAAAGAACAATGACAACAATAATAAAGTTCCCACAATACTATTTGTGGGGCTTATCACGACAAAGTAGCTAACCAATTTATTGCAGTTTACGCCTGTTGCCAACTGACAAAAAACTGGCTACATTTTCTGTCCAAATCACGCACAACACATAGAAATAAATTGAATATGTCTAAGCCCGTTATCAAGTTTTTTACGGCTCAATTAACACAATTAAGAAGCATGCTTGGAATACGGAGCGAGAAAAGCTTTCGGTTTCTGCACGTAATATCCCGCACCATAGATGCCACTAAGAGATCACGGGCGTGTTAAAATAACCCCGTGAATTCTTCCAGTGCCATTAACTGTGCCGAGATGCAGAACAACAAGAAAAATCACTTGAAAAAAATAACTTACCCAGCAGAAATTCAGGTAGCAACTTCATTTTTTATTGGCAATTGAAAGATCTAGCTCACGTCTTTGCCAGATATGGTAACACTTGAAATCTTGGAAAACTTACCGGTAGGAAAAAAAACGAACTTGTTGATGGTCTCAGCCAGGACTGAAAGTTGCATCTTCTTTGTTAGATTCAAACATCTATCCCACGTTATAGCTGCTAACTGTTCACCTGTGCTGCCGTCGTCTGATAAGGTGAACGTCGCTTTGATATATCCCACGATTTAATCAAAAACGCAAATTTTTTTTATTCCAGTTGCTTTTGCGTTGCTCGCGGAAGTTGTTGATTTCCATTGAAGGCAGGAAAGGGAGGGGGAGCGGCAACATGCGTGGGAAATACAAGTTCCCACCTAGCCATTGCATACTATATACACGGCATGC